CATATGTAATTTATTAATTAATTTTAAAATTATTTCTTAAGTGTGAACTGTAGGATGATACCAACATCTATATTATTTGACTACACTGGCTTTTTTTTTTGTTTTAGCAGCATTAGCTTTTTTAATAAATCGTTATTTCTACTTTGGTCATAAATCAAACAAGATTCTTAGATCCTATAGATCTGTTGGTGGCATAATTGATTTGCTTTCAGGATATAATGTGCTAGATATGTTTGCTTGGCTGGCATGAACATCCTAGATCGAGCTTGGGAAACCTATTGGAGAAGTTTTGTGGATGACAGGATATGGAGTAGGCTTTGCTTGATGAAATACATGTGGGGAGTGGGAGGGTAGGGGTGTGAGGGGATCTCTTCCAAACTATTTGGTCTATACTTTGATGGTGGATTGATTGGTAAATGATAAGATGACTCTGCCTGTGAGTGGCTTGACAAAGTTAGGCTGCTCATGAATTCTGTTCTGTGCAGATTACCCACGATGTGTCTTCCCCTTCATCTTTCGTGGAAAGACCCATAGCACCTGCATCTCAGAAGGCAGCTTAGTAGGAAAGTTGTGGTGCTCAGTCACATCCAGCTTTGATGAGATGCATCAGTGGAAGTATTGTGAGATGAATGGTGAGTTGTGGAAGCCAGGGTGGCTGTACAGCGGTGGGGAGGGGCACAGCCACTATCATCAAGAGGCAACATGGGCAGCTCAGGGAAGCACTTTGGGAGACCAAGTGTCTTCTCAAAGACAGCACCATGACAACCACAAGAGGCATTTCTTGAGGCCACTTTCCCCAAGGCAGCAAAGCCAGCACAGTAGACAGGCATCCTGACAACTGAACATATGGGGTGTAGTCTTGATAGTTTTTGTTTGGATTTGTTTGTTTCTAGAATTTTTTATTATAATTTTTATTTTGAAGAGTGAAAAAAAAAGCAAGAACAAACATCAGAAACAAAGACAGAAATAGGGTAACATACAACACTACCTATGTTACAAATTTTCAAAATAAGAATAGCTGATGACACGGGTTGATATATTATCTATTTTTAATCATCAAATCTGTTGCTCAAATTAGCAGATATAGTTATGAAAGAATGGACATATGATTGAATGTTACTGCTTGCTTTCATGAAATCTTAAATTTTTGTTGTCTCTTTTTTCTTTTATTACCTTTTTTAAAAAAATTTACCTTAAAGAGAGTAATCAACATGACATTAGAAATGGTACAGATTTAGAAGACCAAGATGACAGGTATTGAAGCGTGGTTTTTGTATTACACATTGTTGTGCTCTATCTAGTTGCTTAGTTCTAGAATTGATGACAACCAAATCCCAAATCCACCCATAGAAAGATCCTCCATCTTTTCTTTTCTTTTTTTTTTTCTTTTTTTATTTTAGGGAAAGGTTTACTGGGTATTCAGGGTCTCACTACTAGATCAGACTCATAGTGATTTGCCTGTTTACAGTCTCCCAAGAGCTGGGATTACAGGCGTACCCCACCATGCCCAGTCTTAATTGCTGTCTCAGCATGCCCCAGGGCAGGCCGGCACAGTAGACCCAGGGATCAAATCCCCAGCCCCTGTGCCTGTTTGCAGGTGCTTTAATCTGCTGAGCTACCTCCTTCCATCCTAATGTACTTGAGCATCCAATCTCAATCCTAACTTTGTAAGGCCCAAAATTTATTCTGTGGCTTCTGTATGCTAGACTCTGATCTGAGAAGCTTGCATATGGTATCCTGTTGAATTGCTCCATGGAAGCCTCTGAATGTCTTATTTCCCAACCCACTCCACCCAATAAATGGTCCCAGTAAAATTAAGTCCTTTCCATGATCATATTCCTAGGCTATGCTGAAGTTAGAATTTGAATTCAAGTCCATACAGATCTTAAGCCCATGCTTTCTCAATAAGCATTGTTGCCTCCAAAAAGATAAAAGTGTATAAAAGTTTCTTGTCCACAGCCATATTCATTTTTGCATAAAAATCTTAATCATATTCTTCCCTTAGCATAAAAAACCCCAATGCCATATCAACCACACTGATTTTATTATATCTAGCTCAAGGCATCCATCACTTGTTCCTAATGCTAAGCTAACATCCCTTAAAGCCCACATGATACTGTCCTAACACTTAAACTAGCTTTTCATCCAATGTTCTCCACCTCTACTCTTGGCTTTAAATTCCATTGTTAATACTCTCATCATTGTCACCATTTTAAGCACTAAAACAAATCAATGAATTGGTAGAGGTAACAGTTTTATGATAGTGTCATAGTGCTGTATACAATGTTAACTCTGTTTCACATCTCACTGTAACTTAATCCTGACATCTAAATTTCGGTTTATCCAAAGCCCCTCAGACATGTGAAACAAGTAATACACTATTTTAATTTGGATCGGGTAACAAATTTTAATTTCCAAAAATTACTACAGATGTGTGTCAAAAGGTTCCCCATAGCTCTGATTTCCCCATTACACTGTGAAGTTGTTCAATCTTTTGATCACTTTTATTATGTGGACAATGAGGACACTGAGACCAACCTCACAGAGTTATTGTAAAGACTGTATCTCTGATACAGAATTTCCCATGATGCCACCCTAGATACCTAAGAAATGTGAATTCTCCTCTGTGATCATCAGAGCCACTAGGCTTTGAATATGTACTCCTGTAGGATAATTCTAATAATTGGTCCCATTTTACAGGTGGTTAGACTATTTATAGAGATTCATTTGTTAAGCAGCAGAGCTGTTATTTGAAGCCAGAAGGTCCAACCTTCAGAGTGCTCTACATCAATAGTCATTAATTCCTTGAAGTTCCAAACTCTTCACCAAATTCTGTCTCCTAACACCGCAAGAAATTGTAGAAGTGTCTTGCTTACTGAATGTGCTAATCAATGCTGCATTGCCATAACAAAAATACATGAAATAATGAAATTAAGAGGATAAAATATTTATTTTAGCTTACAGAAGTCCACAGTTGTTTGACCATTGATTTGGGTCTGTGGTAAGGGAGAGCATCATGGTACTGAGCACGTGGAGCAAAATTGGTCACCTTGTAGCAGCCATAAAGCAGAGGAAGAGGAAGGAGACAGGGTCCCATTATAACCCCCCAAGGGCATGTCCCCAGTGACCTATTTCCTCCAACTGGGACCCACCTCTTAAAGACCTCCCCAGAGCACCATAGGCTGGCAGCTAAGCCTTTAATACGTGGATGCTCCAAATACACATTGCAACACCAAAGTAAGGGAGATTATAACTTTGACATTATTAATGGAACACTGAAGCAAAGAAGGCAAAACCTGGAAATGAATGAATTCTGGAGGTCTGGAGGTCTGGTGGGTCTTTCCTGGCGGGGATGCGATGTGAACTGAGTATGGATGATGGCCGAATGGTGTAGAGTTGGTAACTGTGGAGAACTAGGAGAGAGTTCTTAATGTAGAAGAGCCAGCTAAGCTCCAGCTTCTTTGGGAAGCAGGGCACTCCAATGCATTCAAAGAGACCTGCAGAATGAAGGATCTACCGCAACTAAAAGCTACTGCAAAGTTTAGCGGTCTGATTTTTTTTTTTTTTTTTTACTTTATGAATTGGTCGTCATCAAATTAAGTCTACCTCAAGCTGTTAAATTGACTGTAATCAAAAAGATGAACGATAACAAAGATTGACAGAGATGTGGGAAAAGGAATACCCTTGGCAATGTGATGCAGCGCTCCTACTTCTAAATATATTTCGAAAGAAAATGAAATCAACATGCTGAAGAGATCAGCTTCTTCACTCCTATTTTCATTGCATCATTGTTCACATTAGCTAATGTGGGGAAATAACCAGTGTGCCCATCAGCAGATAAATGGAGTTTTTTAAAGTAATAAGATAAGGATGAAATACCATATATCCTTGAAGAAGCAGATATGCTATCATTTGTCACAACATAGATGAACCTAGAGGACTTAAACTAAGTGAAATAAGCCACATCTAATACTGTTTTTTAAAAGAGAAGAATATATTTATTGGAGGAAAGAAAGCTTCTGTCTGAAAGAGGGAAAGAAGGAGACCTAAGTGGGTTGCCCTCACATCCAATGTTTATTTAAATCATCATTTCCAAAAAGCCACTTGATTGTACAACAAAGGTATCTGCAATTCTTACCTTCCCTGGAAAGAATGTCTTAGGTCAGTAGCATTTACTTGGTGAAGATCACAGCACAAGAAGTTCCTGGTAATGTTGGCAGTAAGCTTTGGGAATGTTTATGGCTTTGCTTTCCACTTAATTAACCATAAGGTGTAAATAATAGGTCATCATAAACCTGCTTTGAGGGCTTGGTATGATGTTGCCCTTCATGAAAGAAACCTCAGGGCAGATTGTGTGTGTTAAATGCAAGTGCTTTTTATCTCCTCCTCTTGACCTGTTGACTTTCCATGATCATTTTCAGAGTATGGGGGAAATTCCTTCAGCAAGCCCTGCATCTTCCCCACCAAGTACAGGAACAGTGTGATCTCAGAATGCATTGAAAATGAAAGCAACAAGTTCTGGTGTCCAACCACAGACAACATGGATAAAGACGGAAAGTGGAGCTTCTGTGCAGACACCCGTAATCTGGAGGAGGGGGCTGGGTGGGCCTGGGTGGATCCTTTCATTGAATTACTCAACAAATACCACATGCATCCCTATTGTGTTCCAGGCATTGTGTTGGGCACGGGGGCGTGGGGGATGGAAGTGAGGCAGACAGAGTCCTGCTCTCATAAATCTGAGAAGCAAACAGTGCCGACCATGTATAACTGATTTAAGATCCAAGGGAAAGGGACAGAATGATAGCTCAGCAGATTAAAGCTCCTTCTTAGGCAGATGTGGGGACTGGGGTTCGATCACTTGCATGCCATGCCGGCCCCGCCCCCAGGGGCAACTGAGACTGGGCATGGTGGGGCGCACCCATAATCCCAGCACTTGGGAGACTGAAAGGAGGATCTCTATGAGTCTGATCTGTGTAGTGAGACTGTGTAGACCCTGTACTAAATAATTTTTTTTTAAAAAAAGAAAAAAGGTTCCAAGGGAAAGGTGCCAAAATCAAAATTTTGAAACCTATACACCTACCCTACAAATACAGAATAAATATATATTAAGGTTTTTAAAAAATAATTGATGAAGGCATTGAAACTAAGCATGGAAAGCCAGTTGGATCAGAGGTTAAAAAAAGAAAATGCTGAGCTAGAAAAGATTGCTATGTTAGATACAAGATCCACTGACATCTACAGACCAATTAGGCCTCTGAACAGTCTTATCTGCAAGGCACAAATTATTTGCATCTATAGCACAAAAATGACCCTCTAGCAGTTACATCTAACAGCTAAAGGGTCTTGGCCTCTAGTCAATAACAAAAGGTAGGGCAGGCAGTTATATTTTGCCTAGGAGAGGGGTATACATGCTTCCTCACAGTGGTGACACAATTCTTATATATGTACATCTTCCAATCTGAGGAAAGAGTTCCCTTACTTATATGCTTGGGGGAAATCAAAAGAAGGATAATATTTTGTGACACATTAGTAATATAACATTCAAACTCCAGAGCCCATCAAAAATTTTATCGGAACACAGCAGGGTGATGGAGCACCATGACTCTACCATCCACCTACAACAGCAGAGTTAAGTGGCTGTGACAGAGACTATATGGTGCCCAAATCCAAAAATATCCATAGAAAAATTACGTTAACTCTGAGTTAAAATATCAGGTGGCTGTTAGGGGCTTGTGAGATGATGTTCAAGGGTGGCTTTAAAAGGGCTTGACCCTGTTCAGTGATGGATAATTTTCTGGGTAACAAATGATTTCAAACCGAGATTTGGCAGGGTGATCAGAGAAGACCTGAAGAGAGGAAAACAAAAAACTGCAACCCCAGGAAAGTGCATGAGCTGTTTTGTGCTTGGAAAATGGTCAGCAGGTCCTGTTTTGGTACCATTTTGCTCAGCAATGAATGCCTTTCCTCTTCTGGCCCATATCTTGGGTTTATCTCAGTCTTTAGCCTCTATTCAAGGGTCTTCTGTGTATCCAGGATGTTCAGTCCTCTGTGAAGACTCACCTAGAAGTGAGCTGTTTCACTAGAGTTATAATTTATAAAGTCATTGAAACACTAAACCACTGCTCCTTTGGGAAAATGTCAGATTAGATTCCTACCAGCCTCTGGCCCCAGTTTGTCAGCTGATCAAGGCATGACCTTGGTTTGGAGATATTCCTGTTCAAAGACATCTTATTTAGTTGATGCATTCACAATGAATTCCAAGCCAAGAACACTGCATTTCATGTCTGAACTCACAACAACAGCATTACCCCAGATGCCTGGGACACAGTTATAAGTGCATTTTCTCCATAAAGCACATCACAGACTTCCTGTGTTTAATAACACTGGTAAGGGACTGGGGAGATAGCTCAATAGAATAAGCGCTTGCCTGGCAAGTGCAAGGGACTGAGTTCAATCCCCAGTTCCACCAAAAAAAAAAAAATCAAAAAAAACCACTGGTAAACATTTCAACAGTATGCTTTGGGGTTATTCTAAGCAATGAAATTGCCAGAAAAAGCTATAAAGTTTTGAAAAATATGGGACTGGCCCACGGAAAACGCACTTGCTCACAGTAGGGGGCCAGAAACAAGCAGACAGTATCACCTCACTTGACTCCAGCTGAAAACATATCCACCAGGGGACTCAAATTCCTTACTGCTGTGTGTCTACAAGGTCTACAGAAGCACCATGAGCATTCATTTGGGGACTTCAACTAAATTTTAGCAAGTTGGCCAATTTGCAAATACACAATCTATGAAAAATGAGGATCCACTAAAATTTGCGCCATGGCTGCCTCTGCTCTGCTCCCTGTTCCTCCAGATGGCAGAACACTCTCCTTTATCTCTCCAAGAATTCCCATGCTGCCCTTCTTACACATCCTCCCCATACCACCCTTCCCCAAGTCCTAAATTCAGATGAGGATTTGTGAGAAAGGACTTGTGAGGAAGAAAATACAGCACATAAAATTCTCCTAACATATATACTGGGGACAAAACTTACCCCTCCAATAGGAGCCTCTGTGCTAAACCCAAACAGTGCAGCTCCTGCAGTGTGCACCTGATTTTTGAACCTACAGTGGGCTCTGAAGCCTATGCCCCAGCTACCGTGTGAGCATCCCAGGACTAACCTGTCCTACCTGCTTCCTCTCCCTAGGAATTTCCTCATCAGCTCCTGGCTTTCCCTGCCATTTCCCATTCAACTATAAAAACAAGAATTATTTTAACTGCACCAGCAAAGGATCACAAAATAACCTCACGTGGTGTGCAACTTCTTACAACTATGACCAGGATCATACCTGGGTATACTGCTGATGCTCAGGTGAGAACCAAGAACAAGACTAGGTCTATCTCTGATGTGCAGGGGACCAAGACAGCACATTTGGCTGTGTCACTGATAAGAAGGTGAGATCTGTTCCTTGCAGCATGTCTGATCAACTGAGATTCCCAGCAAGGTGAGAGCTGCTTTCCAAAAGTAAGTTCGAGTAGGGGGAAGACTGGAACAGCTTCCCAAATTAGGAGGCTGAAAGGAACTAGGATTTTTCTGGAAAGTAAAAGAGCAGGAGGAGGATGGTAAAGCTTTTCAAACACTGAAAAGTCTCCAAATTGCAGACATGAGAGGCTTTGGGTATGAAAGATTAGAAAGGCTGAATTTCTCGAACAGAACGTGATATAAAAAGACAAGCTGGAAAAGGGGACAACCTGGACCTCCTGGCCCACAGAAGGCACAGGATCATGTTGTTAATCCTTTACCAACATTGGTTAGCTGACTAAGGAAGAGATGTAGGTTTAATTTGCTTCCTTTAGCCTTCGGAGTCCCTCCTCAAACTTAGCCTATAAGTGCTTCACTTTCTACAGGGCCAAATTTATCTGTCCTGTTCTTCCCAGATCTTCCTTCTAGCTCTCCCCCTGGGTTAGCTTCAGCATGCTCTAACCTACAGAAACTCTCCGTAGACCTCCTGGGTAGATCAGCTGACCTAAGCACTCTGTAACTTCTGGAATCTAGACACAAAGAGAAACCTTTCCATCAATATGTGCACCAAACACCACTACTCCTTCCTCAAAGATGGAAATTACTGGTGGTCCAGGCAGTATTTGTCCTTTCAATACACAAGTTTTATGGATGACACCAAATTAGTGACTCTTCTGGTAGTACTGTTTACCAGTAAAATTAATCTTCCCTAGGCAGAAAAGAGGTAAAGAAGTGTGTTTAGAGCTCTGGGGACCATCTCAACAGGGTAGACATTTAACAGAAGGCACAGCTGTCTGCAGCCTGTGGATAGGATTAAGAATATTTTTAGTGCACAGATCCCAAAATTCACTACAGGATGTTTGACTATTCCTTCTCCATGCTCACAGCAAATATCAACAGTTGATTCCCCAATCCAGTTTCCTCTGAGTCCAGGTGCAAATGTCCATTGTATTGTTACCAATGTTATTCTTCTTCTCCTCCTCTTCTTCCTTCTCCTCCTCCTCTTTCCTTTATAGCAAGACCATCTGTTTGCAGGTCTTTCACCCACCTCTATTGCCACAAAGGTGAAACCCACAGCTCCACTCTCCACTGATTGACTTATATCCCTGAGCCACATGGTGGGGAGGTGCCTAGCTGCTTCCTCCTACTTCTGATTGAGTTTTTCTATCAATACAGATTCACCTTTTGTGTAATGCTAAAGATGGAACCTGGGACCTGACACATGCTAGGCAAGTGCTTTACCATCCTGTTATATCTCAGACCCTTTTGATTTTGAGACAGGGTCTCATTAGGTATCCCAGGATGGCTTCAAACTTGAGATCTTCCTTTTCAGGTTCCTAGAAAGCAGATAGTAGAGGTGTGTGGCAACGCGTACTTAATCCTTGAATTTTGACTTTGGATTCCTTTTTTCAGGGAGAAGTAAAACACCTTCAGAGGAAGACAACCACATTGAAACTGGAACCTGGTCTATCTTTTTCACTGCACCTTTCAAACTTAGAAAAAATGCTTTATTGAAGAACAGAGGGAAAATGTGACATAACCACTAATAAAGGAATCCTAACTCAACCCTAAGGGCTGCCTTTCTTCCTTCTTGAGTGAGAGCTATGGTGGGCATGTGGGAAAGGTGTGGTGGCTCATAGCATGCAAAACTGATCAAACAATGTAAGCACTCTGCTCCTTTGAATGAACTAATAGAAGTTAGAAGCACAATTATTTTAGCTATCTTGTGTATATATATTTTCCCCTTCTGTTGCTCCTTTCTCCCTTCCCAGTTTCTCTTCCCTTTTGAAGTGTCTTCCAATTTTATAACATCTATTGTACCTTTTGAATCTTATCTACTCTTTCAACTTCTCACATGAGGGAGACAATATGATGTTTACACATGTGTGTCTGATTTATTTCACTAATGAGTATGGTCTGAAGCTGCATCCATTTAGCTATAAATGTCTCCATTTTATCCCTCTTTATAGCTGAATAGTACTCCACTGTATAAAAAGACTGCATCTTTTATATCTATTCTTCAGTTGATGGGCATTTTAGGTTGTTTCTAAGATCCAGCTATTGCAAATTGTGGTGTTATAAACCTGGGTGCACATATATCACTGTGGTATGATATTTGTAATTCTTCTGAGAAGATGCACAGAAGGGCAATAGCTAGGTCAAATGGGACCACCAGTTCTAGTTTTTTGAGAAACCTCCACACTGATTTCCACCATGGTTGCACCAATCTACACTCCAACCAACAGTGGAGAACTCTTCCTAAATTATTTGTGTCCAACCATCTAATTTTATTTTCCTCAAAGTATTAACCCCAATCTGAGCATCTCTTAAAAATTGTAATATTTCTTCTCCCCTCACACTGGAATATAATCACCAAGAAAGCAAAACCTAGCATGGGGCTCTTCCCAGGACTCACAATAACCCCTGGGTTGCTGCATGAAGTCATGCTGCCTAACATAGCAGTTGCTAGCCAGATGGGGCTGCTTAAATTTAACTTAATTCACTGACATTCTTCATTAATAGCATTGCATTAATAAAATAATACCATAAAGTTTAGTATCTTGGCCCTAAAGGCTAAAAGCTTGGTAGCCACACAGAGCTTGTTGTTGTTCTAAACGGTGGACAAGATCTAGAGCATTTGTGCCATCACAGAGGACTCTGCGTGCTTGCAGAATATGAGCTCCTGGAGGTCAGAACCTCTGCCTCATCCCTGCTTACATGGGCTGGGACAGTGCCAGATACTTAGTATTTAGCAAATAATTTTTGAAAGAAGTGAACAATGTAGATGAAGGTAGAAATAGAATGAGTTGGGACTAAAGAATGGGAAAGCCAGAGTCAGAGGGTGAGGTAGACCAGGACATTCTTGGTGAAAAATCCCCCAAATTCATCAGAAGTCTCTAAGATCATGCTTTCATGATTTAACCTTGATCCACTTTGGCTTCCTGCCACCCATTCATCCTCCTGGCCACCCTGGTCTCCTTGCTATTCCCACAGCATTCCTGCCTCGGGACCTTTGTATTTGCCACACATTCTGTCTTGAATGCTCTCCCCTAAATAAGGAAACAACTGTGCCCAGTGAAATTACTCACAACCCCTACAGAACTCCATAAATATTTTGTCTATGTCAGAGTTTTGCATAGTTCTCACCTCGTATCATGTCTATCATGTTTATTTCCTTTGTTCCATGCTTATTTCCTGTACTATTATGTTAGCTCCTGAGATCCATGGATTTGATTTTATTTGTTGTTATACCTAACCCTTGCACTAACAGTCCCTGAATATATTGTTGTTGAAGGTGGAAGAAAGAAGAAAAGACAGACAAACAGACACACAGACAGAGAGACAGAGAAAGAGAGACAGAGAAACAGAGGCAGGGACGAAGACAGAGACAGAGATAGAGACAGAGAAAGACAGAGAGGACTCATGGGCCTTAAAATTAAAATTGTCTACCCAGTCCTAGCCCAGGCCTGGTAAGTGTGTGGGAGAGCTTCCGGGTACGATGCGCCGGCAGGCGTAGTGTGGGTAAGACCCTCTTCCACCCCCTTGGGACGCCCACCACCACCTCTGCAGCACCTCCAACACCCCATCCGCCAAGTAGGAATTTCTTCTGCATTTCCAGAACACCCAAATCAAGTCCTAGCCCAGGCCATCTGAGTGTGTGAGAGAGCTTTCGGCCACACTGCACCAGCGGGACCTACCTGTTCCAACCCAGGTGCAGCATGGGTGAGACCCTCTTTCACCCCCTTAAGATGCCCCACCACTCCATAGTACCGCCCCCACCCTGCCCACTGAGGAGGGATTTCTGTCACATTCCTGGAAACCCCAGATCCAGTCCTCC